ATGACTGCAGGATCTTTTAGCTAAAGTTAATTTGACAAGGTTTAGCTAAAGTGCCCCCGTGACCATTTTGAAATGTGTGGGGGCTTAATATACATGACAGTGAGGTGACGCTAGAGCGTTTTAATTAGAATGGCAATAAGCACATCTATAGGCACCCAGGGTTCTTGTTTTGGAGACAAAGTAGTCTCTGGGCTTTTCTAATATATAGTCAAGTTGTACCAGCATGCCTAAACCAAATGTAAACATGGATTGGTTCGTATCAGTGTAAATCCCTACAAAGATTTGTGTGAACCAGCTTGAAGCATTCAGCAGTTCAAAAAACATTTGTTTTCCTATTTTTTTTCCCACAAAAATCATAGAAGGATGCAGCTGGAAGGGACCTCAAGGAGTCACACAGACAACCCCCCTACTCAGTTTATCCAAAATTATTTGAAGGCAACAGCAGCCTTCAGGGAAGGCAACACGTATGTGCAGAGAAAGGAGTTATAGGTTCAGGGACTCTGCATTCAGAATCTGGAAGAACCCCAGATGTACCCTGTTAGAAGGCTGATCACTGTTAGAAGCAGAGAGGATGAAATGAAATTATGCTGCAAAAAACGGACCATCACACATCGAGAATGGATGAGGTCTCTTTTTCCTTCTCCAGTTTCTATCAGCAGTGTAAGTTTTGGAGTTTTCATGCTACACCCCACTTGCTTGGTCCAACTTCCCACCTGGTAAAGTGTGCACCAGTCACACTACTTTTGGGACTACAAATAACTTCTGTCACCACATCCTCCTTTCTTAAGTGACTGGTATCTGACCTGATGTCAGGGCAAGTTTCTCCCTAAACAGAAGTAAATTCTTCACTGTTGGCATGCCTTGAGTGCTTTATCAGTTCTGAGTGGCAAAGCTTGACTGATGCTGATAAGGAGACAAATAGGTTTGTTTGGTTTTTTTAAAGAGCATAAGGAAATTTGAGAAAAGTGCCAAGAGTATGAAATAAAGAGGGGCTTAGAGAGAAATAGGAGAAAAGAAAAAGTGATTTAAAAAAGAAACAGTGGTGGTTCAGTTGTTGTGGGTTGTTACTCATACTAGGGTAAAATAATTTAAATCCAAACACTAAACTTCTTTCTTACATCACCCAGGGGGAAGACAGAGAAAGAAGAAAGCAGTTGGATGGCAAGGGCTGGTGATTTACTACAGCACATATGGTCAAAGAGTGTGGCTTTCAGTTCATCCAGTCACTCATCTGTCAAGGACTACCAACTATTCCCTCAAGAAGCACATATGGTCGCTGTGATAGTTTGGAAAAAAAAAAAAAAAACTGAGGAAGAGAGGAGCGTTTTTATTAATATTCCCAGGGGCAGGGGTGGGGAAGTCTTCCATCTCTCTGCATTCTCTTTGTGGAACCAAATACAAGTTCAAATACAATAGGGAAAGTAGGCCAATTTATAGAGATGCAACTGTGCTATTCTTTTGTCGTGTCACATTCTGAGTCTGGATGTCTGACATCAGGTAATTAAGAAGAATCTTTGGAGAAAGACTAGTTTTGTAGCTGAGACGAAGAGAGAAAAAGATGACAGTTGGCTAAAAACACAAGATAGGCCAAACAGAGAAGCCACTGTGTCATAATATTACATTTGACTATTTCCATTACCTACTATATGATTCAAAGCAGATGTTCAGCCATGACAAATTTGCTCAAACCATGACCGAATCAAGGGAAAGAAGAAATTGATAACACTTATATGCTTTCAGATCTGATTTTCTAAAATATGAAAATCACTGTAAATCTGCAGTCTTCACACCAGTCTCCCTGGCTCCCCATCTCATTTACAAAGATGCGGTAATCTCTCAGGGAACACAAGGGCCTAAATTTTGTACAGGAGTTTAAGAGATTTTGTTTCATAGATTGTAAGGCAGGAAGAGAACTTGGAAAATCATGGAGTCCATTGTTAATTCTATTCAGATGAGTTCATTTTTACCAATTACAAGCTACTATGTGCACCTTGCTCTCAGGCCCTAATTCCTCAGTTGTAACAAGTAATGCCCAGGTTTTATTATTTTTTTAAAACATACAGATTATAACACTACACAAGGGCAAGACATAGAAAGTTGGAGAAATAATTTATAAGGAATCCTGGATTTTCTGAGGTGGTACCAAGTTCAGTATCCACAAAAGGTGACTTGTACCAAATTTGAAGAACTGGTCCCAGAGGGGCAACAGGCAGCAATCTGGGTTTTCCATTTGCCATGGGAAAATACGGTAAAACCCAGATTTTCTCATTCTGAGGAGGGAAAAAAAAAAGGGATCTTTTCCTTTAAAAGGAGAAAACCATGGGAAACTGGGTTTCCCTTGGCAGGTTGCCAGAGATCCAGCCTGCAAGGGGCTGGGGGAGTGGGAGGAGGGCTATCAGCAGGAGGTGCCATGAGTATGTGTGCACATGGCAGCCAGACAGCCTGGAGAACAGCTCCCACAGGTCCCCAAAGGTAAGTCTGGTGGCAGGGGAAATTGAGGCCCCTCCTGAGTGAGGCAGGAAGGGAACTGGGCAGGGCTGGGGCTGGGGCAGCACGTTAAGCTTGGGGCCCAGAATGCGTGGCTGCAGGGCCCAGGCGGGGAGTGGGACAGAGCAGTGGACTGCTCATGCAAGGTGGCGAGTTCAGGGTGTGCGCAGGGATGGCTCTGATGGCGATTCAAGAAATGCGTGACAAGCAAGGGTTTTTTCACAATCTCTATACAGTTAGCTCAGTAAGAAATGTTCAACATGCTTTCAGGCACAAAGTAGGCCAGACTTGAAGGAAGGCACTTTGTGCCTGAAACCCATTCTAAACATCTTTCTCGGCTACATGGTTGGTCCAATAAAAGGTCACCAAAAAAACCCACTCTACATTTTTGGTTAATTTCTAGTAAAACTAAAGGACTAAGCAAGTATTTTTAAGAGATCACATACACACTCGCATTAGTAGAATTTTTACCATCACATCATTTTAATACCATCATAGAAAGTAAGGGTTGGAAGGGACCTCAGGAGGTCATCTAGTCCAGTGGTTGTCAAACTTTTCTGTTCCATGACCTATTTGTAAACATCAGTGGCCAGTCCTGACCCACTACCTCCTGCCCCCAGCCTCCCAAGTGTGGAGAGGGGGGCGGGGAGGGGAGGAGCCCCTCACAGGCTGGAGCTCTGCCAGCCTGTAAGGGAAGTGCCAGGGTTTCCTATGTTTTTCTCCTTGAAAAGGAGAATCCATTTCCCCGGTACTGCTGCACTATTCAACTAGTGCACTCATTCCCCTTTTCTCCCCGCCCCCCACCCACCCTGTCTTTCACCCACTGACTCCTCAGTTTACATCTTCACTGACAGCCTGTCTTGCATGCATATCAGGCCAGCCTCTGGCTTCTTTACTATTCATTCCATCCAGGAAGAGCACACACCAACTGCAGAGACTTCTTCAGCCTGATGAAGGGTTTTTAAACCTGAAAGCTTGCTAAAATTTCTCCCCCCCCCCACCAACTACTTAAGCTGGTCTAATAAGAAGATATCAGATTCACCCAAAGAACCTTCTCTGCCTTGATTGATTTTTAAAGTTTGTTCACGACCCTTTCATACATTCTTGCAACCCACTTTTGGGTTGAGAAACACTGATCTAGTCCAACCCTCCCCCCCACCACCTCAAAACAGGACCGTCCCCAACTATATCATCCCAGACAAGGCTCCGTCTAGCTGGGTCTTAGCAGCTTTTAAGGAAGGAGATTCCACAACCTCCCTGGGGCCAGCCTGTTCCAGTGCTTGGCTACCCTCCTAGTCCTCAGGGAAGTTTTCCATAATATCCAACCAGAACTTCCCTTTCTGCAACTTGAGAAGGTTGCTCCTTGTTCTATCATCTGCCACCAGAGAACAGCCTAGATCCATCTTTTTTGGTGCCACCCTTTAGATAGTTTAAGGCTGTTATTAAATCCTCTTTCAGTCTTCTCTTCTGCAGACTAAATAAACCCTCAGCCTTTCCTCAGAAGTCACGTGCCCCAGCCCCCTAGCACTTTTAACTGCCCTCTGCCAGATTCTCTTTGCAATTTGTCCACATCCTCCTTGCCTACTTCCCTCAATCTAATGGCAAAGCTGCTACTAACACAGTCGAGTATGCCATTAGTCTTCTTCGTATCCGACTTAGCTTCCCTTGTAGCCATCATGCCTTAAATGGCTAGAAATAAATAGCCTGTAAAAATTTCTTAGCAAAAAAAGTAATCAGATTTGGACCTGAAAGAAATTTAAAAAAGAAAGACTTATTAACTGCTGTTCATAGTGGCAAGACAAGCCACAAGAACGCAGAGCGTGCACAAGCCTGCACAAAGCTGTTACTTCTAGAGCCAAAATTTTAAGAGACTTGTTTACAGTTTAAGCAATGTCCTCAATGCAAGGCGCCGTCTGAACCTGTCAAACTGATCGCTGGCTAAAGTGATCAGAAGAAGCTTTTATTTACTGCAACGTCCCTTTGAAGACCAGGCCAGAAGCCATTTAAAGGAGCATGCAGAACCCGGTCCCTGCAACGCTGCACCTGCCTCACTGGCAGCGGGGGTGTTGGGCACTGGCAGGGATGCGGCCCCTCAGGTACCCACCAGCTTCTCCCTCCCAGGAGCCATCTCTGAATCCCTAGGCTGACAGGAGCCAGGGGAGCAAAGCACCTTAGAGACTAAGCGAAGGGGAGAACCGCTCACTTTGCTGGTGCCAGAAAGACGCTTTGTGACCCCTCTGTGCCTCACTAGATCATAACCAGACATATTTACGCCCCCCACCTCAATTCCTGCACAACAAGTACCGCGGGGGAGGACGAGGAAGTGGAGAGGTGCCTGCGCAGAGGCTGTCACAGGACTCCTTAGCGCCACCGATGCTCCGCAGGAGAGGCGCTCCCGGCTGAGCGCGGCCACGGGCCCCCTCCACCCCCGGGACTGCGGGGAAACTTTCCGGGGAGGCAGCGAGTGCGTGCGACATGCGGTGCCCCCCGCGCTGCCGCCCCTGCTCACTCACCTTCCGCACTTTGCCCTCCAGCTCCATGGCCAGCGGCAGAGCTCACGCCCAGGGACTGCGACTGCGGCTCCCCAGCCCCGCGCTCAAACTTCCGCTGCCCAGCGGCACTGGCTGGTGCGGAACAAAGGCAGCGCGGCAGCCAATGGCGGCGCAGCGCCCGGACAGCCGCCAGCCAATCGCTGCCGCCGCCCGCTACCTGGTGCTGGCGTCCGCCTGGGCCGCGGCCGGGGGTCAACTGGCCTGAGGTGTTGGGGGTTGCAGCCTGCCTCAGAGCGGCGCGTATGCCGGGGGCAAGGGGCCATATTTCTCTTCTGTGCTTTCTTGTCTGTGGTATGAGGAGGCTGTAATCAGGAAGGTGGCAGCAAAACCTAGCGCCCATCTCACACCGTGGGGGATCTAGGTAGGGTTGCCATCATTCCAGGTTCAAACAAGAGGGCATCTGTGGGGGCAGGGGCTATACGATTGTCGGGGGACAGTGACATGCTCGTGCCCTGCTCCTGCCCCTTCTCCTCACTCCCAAGTCACAGCCCCCGCCCTCAGCCCTGCTGCTGCTGCCCACTCCTGACCCACAGTACCCTGCCCCCCAGACCATGCTGGTGCCCCTCACTCCCAACCCATAGACCCCCCCCCGCTGATACCCCTCACTCCTGACTTGCAGCCCCAGTGCCATAGCAATGAAGTTTGGCAACCAAAGGGAAAGCCCGCAGCAGCAGCCCACCCTCCCCCAGCACACAGATCGGGGGGCACACGCCCCCCCCCCCATGCCTGTTTGGGAGTGCACACAGTGGCAGGAGCCATCCTTCCCAGGTTCTTGCACCCCCTGGAACGAGCCATTCGCAGATCCATCCTGCCCCTACCTCCTGTTAGCGCCCCTTCACTTCACCCCCACCCCACTGTGTAACCTGCCAGTGCCCCTTACTCCCAACCTATAGCCCCTGCCCCCCTCAGCCCTGTTGTCCACATGGATCCCTGCTGTACCCAAAGAGCCCCTTCCCCCCACCTCCCCACCCTGCTGTGGACCCAGGTTTGATGCTCACACTCACCTGCCTGCAGATGCCAGGGCCTGCGCACAGAGCAGGTGATGCCCTGGCCTCCAATCACCTTCCCTGATCCCCCCACAGGCCCAAGCAGCTCCTTGCTGGGGTAAGCCAGGAAAGTGGTGGCACAGGAAAATCTCAGACATTTCCTGATATTTAAAAAAAAATGCCCAGATGAAGATGGGAGGACCCAAAAAGAGGATATGTCCAGGAATACCCAAATTTAGGGTTTTGAGAAGGGGGTGGGGTGCAGACGGTGAGGGGCATCATCCCATGTAACAAAACACCTCTTTTACTCTGGTTAAAAAAGCTTTACTAATAGACGAGGGGCTTGGGGTTTGATTTTTCAGTTGAGGTTGAAGCCAAACACAAAGGGGACTTAAAAGCTTTCTGCAGGGCAGTGAAATAGGAGCAGCTAAGAAGTCTTCAGGGCCATGAAGACTATTGACTTCCTCAGCAGTGCTTGATTAGAAAACCAGAAAGACCTTGGGGCACCATCCAGCCATCTGGAGGGAGTTGGGGGCAGCCTGGCTCTGATCTAGCCACATAAGGAAGGGGGCTTAGCACAACCCAGCCCAACACAGGGGTGAGGGGTAGGGGCAATATCACGACACACATGGGATCATGATCTGGCCTTGATCCGGCCATGTGGGGCAAGGGGGCAAGGCCTGGCTCGAATCCAGCCATATGGGGCTTGGAAATTTGGCAGCAGGGGAGAAGGGTAGCTGTACTGTTTGCCATTGTTACCCCATTGGCAAATTTCCCAACCTGTGGGAAGCCCCACCAGTCAGATGCCAGGGCTCCCTGGGCCAGAGTTGGTCCCCAGGACAGAGGTTGAACTCCCCTGGTTTCAAGTGAAACATTAACATGTATCACTTACACTCTGAATACTTGAATACTGTAAAGAAAGTAAAAAAGTAAAAGGAACGTGTTAATAACTCCTATTTACAAAAGGCTGGAGGGAATCTTGAGTTACTTGTCAGAAAAAGAATCAGTTTAACATGTAAAAACAGGCAGCTTTGCAAAACAAACAAACAAACAATCTGAAAGCTACATCTTGCATTCTTCAAACAATGCAAGTCAGGATATATTCTCTGCATATTTTAAGTATAATGCATAACTTTGCCAAAAGAAATTAGACCAATTTCTTCCCCAACAAAACCTTAAAAAGGCCTTACAAATTACGTGGTTAGATTCTGTTTTCAGTCACATCAATGTAAATTTGGACTAAATTAACTGGATTTGCTCCAGCAGATTTACTTCCAGATTTACAGTACTATAATTGAAAACAGTCCTTGGTTTCATAGATTGTGTTGTAAATTTTAATATGCCAGTGATTTTTATCTATTTGCTACTCAAAGAAGTGGTGTTATAGAAGTTGTACTGTGAAAGGTCATATAAATATAACAGGAATCACAAAATTAAGGTGGCATGGGCATTAGAGTTTGTTAAATTCAGGTCTTGTTTATTTGAGTTCTTCAGGCTAAGAATGTCAAGTCCTATATACATTTTCTCTTTCCAGATTTTTAAAAAATCTTGGGTGGGGGGCGGGGAAGACAGACATATGCATTAAAAATGCCTTAGGCAGCATTTGCCAATAACTTGAAAGATTATTTTGTTTCACTGATTTAGGCAGCTAATAGTCTGACACAAACACATGCCTTGCCTTCCCCCAGACTGTTCTTAAATAGCTTTCACATGCAGAGTGCTCAGTGTCTTTCCCCAGGGGCTAGATCTGCCTTTCTTACAATTTTTTGTTTGTTTTTTTTTTATATTTTTACTATTGCTTGTTGATGAATGATAGCAGGCAAGGGAAAATTAATACAGGATTCTAGTCTCTGAACCCCACTCCCCCCTCATCGCAGCAGTGACTGAAGGATCAATCTTTAGAAATAACAACATTCTAGCTGACTGCTGTATTTGAAACTTCAATAGCAGCCAACAATGTGCATAACTAATGGTGCCAGCTGCTTCTTACTCTGCTCTATAGAGTAGATCTAACGCCAGTCCATGATGGCCCCTCAGGTCATGTCAGAATGAGAAATGAGAGAAGGGGCAAGGCAGGCACACCAAACTATGGACACTGACAGGGCCAGCATGTGCTTGACTCAAGATTGGTCTGAAATGTTGGGGGAAGAAGGGGGAAAAAGGGAGGGAGAATGCAGTGTTACAAGAATATTTAAAATTTGGAAGGTCTATCAAGCAAAATCTTAAAAAAACGACCTATAATTCTAATGCAAAATCTTACTGGGTACATTTTTACAATACCAATTTGAAAAATGAAAGTGATCCAGTCTGAGCCAGGTCTTCTATATTAAAGATTCACTTACTTGCCCAAATATTGTAAGAAATGCATTTAATAAGTTTACATTTTTAATTTTTTGTTTAGGAGGAACAATTTTTTTTTTAAAAAAGAAGAGTTAAAATTGTATTTTGTAGAATATGAGAACCAGTGTATTCTACAGCATGTTAGTTATTATAACAATAGTTATTCTGAGTAGCAAGTAAGCTGTACTTTTTCAGCTTGGGTATCATAAGGTTTGCAGGATAGTCCTGTAAGCAGGTTGGGGTACCTGCTGCCATGCAGGCAGGCTTTGGCCCTTAGGCAGTCTGAACAATAGTCCATAAGTAGGTGTGGTTGCCTGCAATCTCACTATAAGGCTTCGCTTCCTTGGGAACTCCTGAGCCAAATCTCATAACACAAACCAATGATTCTTGGTCCAAACAAATTACTAAATTAAACCTTTAGCTTTATTAGGAGAGGGCCCTTTATCTCTGGGCCTTCCTAAAGGCAAACTCCTCTGGGTTTCAATCTGCTTCTTGCCCACAAAACAGCTGCTTCTCCCAATTTAAGCTCCTTGCTGTCACCCACACTTGGGCTTTTAATTCCCAGCTAATCATTCACTGCTGTTCCTGGGCTGGCTACTCCACTTAAAGGGCCAAATCACCTTGCTACAAGTTCTTTTGCTATTCACTATGGAAGTTTAGAAAATGATACAAAACTGTCCAGCTTACTTCCTATATTAGATTTGTTTTGTGCTTCTCAAGGATGGAATGTTCTTGTGATTTGTACAACTTAAAAATATATAAAAGGCAGGACAGGTTACCTGGTATGTGAGCACAGAAATATAGTAAAGCTTAAATAGCTTTCTATCTGCTAACTTGTACACAAAGCCTACAGAAATTCTTACGTAATGCAAATCTGCTTTATCCAACATGACAGCTCATCTTCTAATCAACACATGGTTGTGGAAACCTCTAGTGCTCCCATTTCAACAAAGGACCTACTTTAAGATCTTAGGCAGGCAAGATTCTTTGGGTAGATGTGGTAGCTTTTATCAGACCAATTAAGTAATAAATCTACTAAGAGATATCTAATAAAAGATACGACATCTACCCAAAGAACTTGCCCGCCTATGTGCTTAGATCAACATGGCTACAACCAGCAACCCTACATTAAGTAGCCTGTATGGCAGGTCTTGTAAGACTTTAGTCTTCCAGTTCTCTTGAGGATCTCAGAAATAACTTCCCCTTCCTTCTAGGTGTATTGTGCATAAAGCATGGGTATGGTCCAGATCAGTTCCCAGGTAGGGGTCTGGCATCAGAACTGGATTCAGAAGCCATAGCTAGCCAAAGTCAGGACAGGCCAGGGTCAGAAGCCAGAGGCCAGAGCCAAAGGGTTGAGCCAGAATCAAGACCAGAGAGCTAAAAATATTAATAAAATATTAATATTTAATAACTTCTTTGCCTCTGTCTTCCTCAGTAAGGACCAGAACTGCCACCTCCCTGCTGGGCCCTCTTTGGGCCCCAGGGGAGGCTCACCTGGGCCTAGAGTGAGTGAGGATTTAGTTAGGGAGCTTCTGGAGGGGCTGGACGTTTTTAAGTCAGCC